GTGGCACAGGTGATTGTATTACTGCGGGAAATAGAAGATTTACTACCATCCTCAATCGCACCTCCAAGAGAGGAAAGTAGTAGTAAAGGGAGATAAGGGAGGAAAAAGAGATGGGAAGACACATGGAGATTCATGGAGAAGTAGCCAGAGAGGACAGATATGTTTTCACAGCATTTGCAAATAATGTATTTACTAAGAAAGTCTTTCACCACTCGGGAAGTCAGGGTGGTGCACATATGCCTCCCAATTCCATACCTAGCCCATGATTTGCAGGGAAACTTTAGAAAACTCTGCCTGAAAACCTCTCAGAAACCATGGGCTGCCCTATGAGCAGTCAAAGCATGTTCTTCACCTAAGAGTATATTCCAGGCAAGGCTGGCATAAAGTTTATAGCAACTCTGAACATGGCGGGTGCCCACCCAAGCCTATCTTAGCGTATCTTAGTTATGTGCTAGGGCCTTGAGCTTCAGAAGTGGAAGAGGCTGGTGATGAGGGCTTCTAACAAGCACAGAGAAGTGTCTGGAGACCCTGAGGTCTTCAAGAGTTCTCAAAATGAGCTTATAGCTGGCAAAGAAAAAAAAATGATACAAGGCAAGGCTTACACTTCATCATCTAGTATCCAGCACTTCTGTCCAGAGACTCTGGTCAGAAAGGCTCTCCTCCAGAGAAGGGCTTTCAATGACACCGTTTGTATCTGCATTTGGACAGCAGAAAAAAAAAAAAAGGAAAAGAAAAAATAACACACTTGGTTATGTGCAGTTAAGGGGAAGTGGGAGTAAATAAAATATGTATTAGTCCATTCTCACACTGCTATAAAGATACTAGCTGACATCCTGTAATTTATAACAGAAAGAGGTTTAATTAGCTTACAGTTCCACATGGCTGTGAAGACTTCAGGAAACTTACAATTGTGGCAAAAGGCAAAGGGGAAACAAGACACCCTCTTCACAAGTTTTTGGCATGGAGAGAAGTGCAAGCAGAAGAAATGCCAAGTGCTTATGAAACCACCAGCTCTCAGGAGAACTTACTCATCATCACCAGAACAGCATGGGGGAAAAGTGGCCCCATGAACCAATCACATCCCTCACTCGACACGTGGGGATTACTGGTCTCTCCCATGACATGTGGGGATTACAATTTGAGATGATATTTCAGTGAGGACACAAAGCCAACCATCTCAGAAGAGGTGAGAAGAAACAAAAGTGTAGTAAAAATTACTCCCCATTTTATGTTTGCTCTGCAGCAAATTTGAAATGGTTTCTTCATGTCAGCAATACAGGATGTACTCAAAGATACTGATGACAAATATTTTCAGGGCAGGTATAATGATTGAGTGGCAAAGGCACTGGCCTTTGGCTACAGTTCAGGAATATTAAGGTCATAAGGAAAAGGTCACCCCACAGAAATTAGAGTTCAAATGAAATAAGCCAGGAATATATATACAAGGGTGACAACTGAAATTTTTAAAAAGCCTGGATAGAGATCACACAACCTGTTATGACTGAATACTTCAAAATGAACTATCCACTCATCTATCCTCTTTCCTTTAAAATCAAATCATGTATACAAATCAAGTTTCAAAGAGAACTGAATGAATTATTGCTTTATTGCCTTTGAATTGTCCCTTTAATGTTTACTTGATTTCAGAGCCGAAGTTCATAAATCATATGCGTCACATATTTATTACTGCTTACCAAGTATATTAGCCAGAGATTTTATATTTACAAAACAATGTATAAACTTTCAATCATTTTGATTGTGATCTAGAACATTGCCACATGGCAATGGACCGGGAATTTTCACAGATCTGGGAACAAACTCTGAATTGAAACAGTTATGGTCCAATAATAAATTTTTTAAAGTCAATGTTGGTAATTTTTTTGGTTGTCTTATCCTTTTGGCATCTCCTTTGTAAAATTAAAAATCTATACCTGGATTTCTTAGCATATTCACAATTGTGTGAGAAACTAAATCACAATATATTATACATAGACATCTTATTCACTGTTTCTCTTATTCTCCAACTATTAATTTAGTATCTCTTATTTAGAGCTCCTCCTCATAATTCAGGCAACAGTAAGAGGAAGAAAAAGTAGACCAGCCCATTACCCAGAGACTTTTAGAGTCTATAGATGCTGTCATATAAGGAGGATGGTGGAACTTAAAAATGTAAATAAGTGATAAGAAACTATAACAAAGGAGTATACGTATAATAAATTATAAGAAAGGAGTAAGCAAGAGAGACGGTTTTAGATGAGCGCAGTCTGAAAGAATACAATTGGAAGCACTGGGACATGGCAAATTTTGTAAAGGTAAATTTAAGTTAGCTGGGATGGTGGTCTAGATGAGGCCATGACAACTGAGAATAGGGGACTGACCCTCAGACGGTGTATGTCAGAGATGAGAGTCTAAAATCTAAAATGGAAAACTGCCCTTAACATATACTTTGGAATTATGTGTAAACCAGAGAGAATCTCCACCTGGGGCAGAAATGAAAAGTATCCTGTGCTCATGGTCCACCACAGGTCAACACAGTGCAAAAGTTAGGTGTTTTCTGCACATAATCTCCAAGGTGTTTCTGAAGAGTAGGGATGATATTTCCTTGAGATGTGATGTCCAGAGGCCACGGTGATGGCACTCTTCACTGGGCTGGGAGGGCCAAAGCCCACGCCATCAAAAAAAAAAAAAAAAAAAATAGGTTATCTTGAGTGTAATTGGCACTCTGCACTGGTCCGTGAGGGTCAGAGCCCACTCCAACAAAAAAAGTAGATTATCTTGAGTGTAACTGACTGAACTCTAGAGAGGGCTTGATTTTGGGTAGGGAGGAAATAAATAAAAATAGAGGTGATTTGGATGAACAAACACCTGGGAGGCAGTTTCTTTGTTCTTCATACAAAGTTTAGGACTTTTGGGTTGTATTCAGCTGGAAGAGACTTGCCCACTCAAAATTAAATAGGGAAAATTAACAATTTTACTTGCCAAGCATTATTTTATTTTTTCCAAAAATACTACATATTTTCTGACTTTTCAGTGATTTAAACAATAAAACTTTATTGTGGTTTGTGTTGTTGTCTGGGGTAATAATAATCAGTAATGAATGTAATTCTTAAAAGATTACCTTTTCAGATGCCTTATAAACATTACATATATTCCAACAGTTCTACAAGATAGGGCTTATCAGGCTCATTTGCTCATGAAAACCTTGCAATTTCCTCAAGTTCACTGACTCCTAAGAGGCAGAGCTGGGACTAGACCCCTGGTCTGAACTAGTTTAAAGCTCACATTGTTCCACTCCACCCAGCCTGAGGCAGATCTTGTGTCTGTTCATTCAGTTTTCTTTTTATGATTCCAAAATGTATTTCAGGTGATAAAAATAAAGATCCTGTAGCCTAAGTACTATAAGCAGTCCTAATGAAGAAAGGTTAATATGAGAATAAATCCTGACTTGGGGACTGCATGTGGGCTTCATTTTCCTAGGATCCTGCTGCTTCTAGTCATAAGGTTCCTTGAGAGCTGACTCTGTCATGGGGCTGGCTTTTGTTTAGCTACAGCAATTCCTCTCATTACAGAACCCTTCCCCTGGGACTTCCTCAATGTGACCTCCTGTTCAAATATGGAACCTGACAAAAACCAATAACTAATTATATCATGTAACGTGAAATACACCTTTCACAACAGCAACAATATCCAAATTACATCTAATAAAAAATCAAATAGAAATGTACATGTTCATTAAGGAGACAGCCATAAAAATTTTCTGAAAGACTTAGGAAAAGGAAGTATCCAATAAAGGAGTATACCATATATATTTACTGTGGAGGGGAAATTGTAAAGATGTTGATTCTCCTTTAATTTTATACAGATTCATTGCCTCAAACCCAGGCTGTTCTTTCTCATGACCAAACTGAACCCTGGAAAAGTTAAAGGAATAATTAAAAAAAAAAAAACAATATTAACAACAGCAAAACAACAAAAATGAGACCCCTGAGAAACAGTAATTTTGTACTGAACAAGAACTGGTGTGTGGGCAGGTAGGGGCATGTGGTGAACTAGTGACAGGTATGAACACTACAATAGAGGGAGACAACAGAATTGGCTAGAGGCAAAGTTTTAAAATATTGGTCTTTGCTTCCTTCGTTGTGCCATGGTTCAATGCATTTTTTTTTCCTGCTTCACTAAAGGAAATTCAGTCGGGAACTCAGACCTCATGTGCCAGTTCCATGGGGTAATACTGGGACAGCAAAAACATTTGGATAGGCTGAAGAAGTATGAACCCAGACAATGTGCTAATAGTTCCTAAAACCTCTTTAGTGGAGGAGGACTGGCCTTTAAATTCATACTATTTTAATATAATATAAAGAATGGACTAAATGAGAATACCAAATACTGCAGTGAGTCATGAATGTAATATTTGGTATTCTAGTTTAGTCCATTCTTTATATTATATTAAAGATATATACGTACCACCTGATAGTGGTACAAATTCATTTATGAAAATGTTGAATACAGACACTGATGACAGCCAAGAGAGAGATCCCAGACATAGCTGCCAGGCTAAGAAGTCCCCTCACTTTCTCCTTAGGAATTGTACAGGACATAGCCAGAGGAAGGGGATGGATTCATATGAGAAAATGGAGAAAACCAAGACCCTGCCAGCAGTCAATGTGAGGACCCTGAGTGAGGAGTGAGGGGCTCCACAGCTCAGAAGAGACAAGAGTGGCCCCAGAATCTCCCTTCTTCTTCAATCTTGCATCACAACTTAATAGCAGCAGCCAGGTCTAGGATGCCCCAGGCAGTAGTGGTCAGGTGAGGTATAACTGAATTACACATGAGGAGTCTCAAGAAGTTGAAGTCTAGTGTGAGAGGGTGTCCTCAAGTCAGTAGAGGGCGCATGGCAAGAATGAAGTCAAGACACTCAGTGAGGGCTGAGGGCAAACTCCATTCCGGAAGAGGGGCTGCCACAGAGCCCCTCCCCTACTGTCAGTCTTGGAAGGTCCCGCCATGGCTTCCGGTCTTGGACTCTAACTTTTTTCCTACTCTGGGCTGTGGGGAATGAGATCCTTGGTCTCCAGTCGAATGATTTACCTCAACAGACTGAGAAGTCCAAGCATCCACAAAGAGCCCCTGAAAAAACTTTATGTGAGTTCTGTGGAATCTGCTGTGCGCACAGAACACCGGGGAGAGTGACAGAGCCCTGCCCCTACCGTTATGCTGGGAATACCAGGTGGGGGTGACCGGAAGTAGTTCCCCCTGACTTCCGACTAGAAAGGGGGCTGGGCCCGAAGCCTTCATCCGTAAAGTGCTGTGTCACCTCAGCGGCGTTCCAGATCTTCTCAGCTGTTTTGGTGGGTATCTTGACCTAAAACTTGGGGTGAATGCCCCGACGACCACAAACCCTTTCCCCCCAAAAAAAAAAAAAAAAAAAAAAAAAAAAAAAAAAGCGGCTCCACAGAGCCGGTCCCTGAGGAGTCGGCAAGCATGGCCGCTAGGCCCAAAGTGCATTCACTTTTTCCGTCGGGTTGAAGAGCATGAAGGCCTCGGTCCAAGGCTGGTGGACTCAGGTCAGGAGGGAGAGAAATCTCAGGCACTCCATAGTCAAAAGAGAATCCTCCTTAAGATTGAGGGGACTCCATGCCCCAGAACGGGGTGACACCGAAGTCTGCTGCTGACGTCAGTATGGGGTCCCGGCAGGTCTCTAGAGACTGAAGTGCATTCTCACTTTGTTCCCGTCAGCGTCAGAGAAGTAGGGCCCTGGACGTAAGGAGATGGCAGCCGGTCAGCGAGGGTGATTTCCAGGTTGTGGGAAGAGTGAGGGCGAGGAGTCTGATTACCATGGGGACAATTCTCACTAAAACAGCAAGAGAATTCAAATGCTCCCACTGTTGTTGGCCATAGGCAGTCTGGGTGTCCTTGGAATGAAGTGTTGGGCAGAAGTGCTTCTTTATTTCCTCCTCATTAGTATTGTAAAAATTACTAGTGTCAATGTTAGAGCTGCAGAGGAGAATGGGCCTCTGGGTCTTGTCAATTTTTATGATGATCCTGAATATACATAGAGAGGATCAGACCCCTGAACAGAGGGGCCCCCATTGCCAGCCCCTGCTGTCACCTCAGTAAGCCCCAAAATGGGCTGTCATGCTACCGTCTAATACTCACTCTTAACTTCCTCCTGAGTTCGAAGGGCACAAACTTACCAGGAGAATAGGAGTCCTGTGAGTTCCTAGAGCAGTTGTTTCTCAAAAACCTGTAGAAGGGGCCCTGGTTAAAGCCAAGACGCTTGCTCTCTGGTGAAGGTGTCGATGTGATGCCATTCTCTCCCGTCCAGGTGCCAGCCTTCCTGCCCACACTCCTACCTGCTGTCACAGGCCAAAACCATCATGCCTCGGGGTCAGAAGAGTAAGCACCGTGCCCGTGACAAACGCCGAGAGACCCATGGTCAGCCTCAGGGTCTCACAGGTCCCCAGACCACTGCGGAAAAGCAAGAAGAGCCCCATTCTTCCACTGTCTCTTCTCCTGATTATCGGGGTGCTCATCCTAAGTCTTCTGATGCCTCCTTTCCTCAGGAGTCTCAGGGAGCTTCACCCACTGGCTCTCCTGATGCAGCTGTTTCATGCTCAAAATCTGATGTGGCTGCCAAGGGTCAAGATGAGAAAAATGCAAGCACCTCCCCAAATGCCTCCGTTCCTCAGGAGTCTCAGAGAGCTTCACCCGCTGGCTCTCTTGATGCAGGTGCTTCATGCTCAAAATCTGATGTGGCTGCCAAGGGTCAAGATGAGAAAAATGCAAGCACCTCCCCTAATGCCTCCGTTCCTCAGGAGTCTCAGAGAGCTTCACCCACTGGCTCTCTTGATGCAGGTGCTTCATGCTCAAAATCTGATGTGGCTGCCAAGGGTCAAGATGAGAAAAATGCAAGCACCTCCCCTAATGCCTCTGCTCCTCAGGGGGCTCAGGGAGTTTCATCCACTGGCTCTCTTGATGCAGGCATTTCATGCTGGAAATTTGATATGCCTGGCTTGAGTGAAGATGAGGAAAGTGCAATCGCCTCCCATAGAGCTGCCTTCTTTAAGACCACAGATCGAGATCCTCTAAACAGGAAGGCTAGAGTGTTGGTGCAGTTCCTACAGGAGAAGTTTGAGAAGAAAGAGATCATTTTGAAGGCCGACATGCTGAAGCGTATTAACAGAAAGTACAAGGTGTACTTGCCCGAGATCCTCAAGAAAACCTCCAACCATTTGGCAGTGGTTTTTGGCGTTGAATTGAAAGAAATGGATTCCAGCGGCGAATCCTACACCCTTGTCAGCATGCTGGGCCTCTCCAGTGAAGGAATTCTGAGTGGTGTTAATGGGCTGGCGAAGTCGGGTATCCTGATGTCTCTCTTGAGTTTCATTTTCATAAGAGGGAACTGTGCCATTGAAAAGGAGGTCTGGGACTTCCTGAGTGTTTTGGGGATCTATGACGGAGTCGTGCACTCAATCTATGGGGAGCCCCGGAAGATCATTATGGAAGATTTGGTGCAAGATAAGTACCTGGAGTACTGGCAGGTGTGCGACGGTGATCCTCCATGCTATGGGTTCCTGTGGGGTCCACGAGCCCATGCTGAAACCAGTAAGATGAGCGTCCTGAGAGCTTTGGCCAATATCAATAATACTGTCCCCGGTTTCTACCCACATCTGTATGAAGAGGCTTTGATAGATGAGGCACAGAGAGCATTGAGACTGAGAGCTTAACGGCAGGGCTGGCACTGTTCTCTTGGCCAGGGAACCTTATGGGAGTATATCTTACAGATCCACTTCTAGGGAAGTCTGAATTAGAATTTTTGCCGTATGCTAGAAGAAGAGAGTAGTGAGCTTTCTAAATAGTGCAGTATAGTAGAGGCTGGAGGGAAAAGATGTGTATCTTTCTTTTGTCCTGTTACACATGAGTAACACAGATTTATGTTTTGCTTTTACTATTAATATTCAAGATTGTTCCTGTTAAGTGAAGGTTTATTTTGCTTCATACTATAAACGTATCAGTAACATAGCTCTCACATTCATAGCTGTTTAAGCAATTTGGAAGTTACGGTTTTGGTATTAATAAAACAAAATCATACACCGTTCATATTTTCTCTATAATTCAGAACTAGATAACATGGTAACAGAGAAGGGATTTTGATATGAATCTTAAAGAACTCCACAGTAAACTAGTTGACACCGTAATATAATGAGAAAACAAAGTAAAAACGGAAATGTAAAAGTTGCCTAATTCTTGGGGTTTGCCTTATTCCTTTTCTTAATATAAATAAAGGATGGTTGGATTTATTTAGGTTATTAAAAACTGCTGTTAGTTTGTTTTATTCTAGTGTACTTCATATTCTGTTATTGACTACATCAAAAAAACTCCTCTGATTGGAGAGTGGTGTTTTCTGGGTTTAAAAAAATCATATGAAATGCAGTGATCAATATAAGCCAGAATGAGCTCACTAAAATCCTTTTTGAAACAAGGCTGCTAAATTTAAATCTTTCCATAGGCTTTTATTGTTTCAGATATCTTCGAGATGTGGTAATTGTATTTCTTAATATATCATTAGGAAAATTAAAAATTAATAATATTGTGTAAAAACACATATTATGGTAACTGCCATTCATTACTCAGTATTTCCTACTTAGTATGCCTTATTTTTTCATTTTTATAATTTTATTTTACTTTAGGTGCATACTATAGCTGCCATTTCTCCCCATGCTATCCCCCCACCCTCCCCTAACCCCCCTCAACTGTCCCCAGTGTGTGATGGTCCTCTCCCTGAGTCCACATGTTCTCCTTATTCAACGCCCACCTATGAGTGAGAACATGTGGTGTTTGGTTTTCTGTTCTTGTTTCAGTCTGCTGAGAATGATGGCTTCCAGACTCATCCAGGTCCCTACAAAGGACACCAACTCATCATTTTTTGTGGCTGTGCAGTATTCCACAGTGTATACGTACCACATTTTCTTTGCCCAGCCTATCGTTGATGGGCATCTGGGTTGGTTCCAGGTCTTTGCTATTGTACACAGGGCAGCAATGAAAGTACGTGTGCACTGTCTTTATAGTAGAATGATTTATAGTTCTTTGGGTATATACCCAGTAATGGGATTGCTGGGTCAAATGGAATTTCTATTTCTAGATCCTTGAGAAATCGCCACACTGTGTTCCACAATGGCTGAACTAATTTACACTCCCACCAACTGTGTAGGAGTGTTCCTATTGCTCCATCCTCTCCAGCATCTGTTTGTCTCCAGACTTTTTAATGATTGCCATTCTAACTGGCATGAAATGTTATCTCAATGTGGTTTTGATTTGAGTTTGTCTAATGATGAGTGATGATGAGCATTTTTTCCTATGTTTGTTGGCCTCATATGTGTCTTCTTTTGAAAAGTATCTGTGCATATCCTTCACCCACTTTGGGGTTGGTTTTTATTTTTCTTATATATCTGTTTTAGTTCTTTGTAGATCCTGGATATTACCCCTTTGTCCGGTGGGTAGATTGCAAAACTTTTTTCTCATTCTGTTGGTTGCTGGTTTGCCCTAATGATGGTTTCTTTTGCTGTACAGAAGCTCTGAATTTTAATTAGATCCTATTTGTCTATATTGGCTTTTGTTGCCATTGCTTTTGTTGTTGTAGTCATGAAGTCCTTGCCTATGCCTATGTCCTGGATGGTTCTGCCTACATTTTCTTCTAGTGTTTTTATGGTATTAGGTTTTATGTTTAAATCTGAATCCATCTGGAGTTAATTTTAGTGTAAGGTGACAGGAAGGGGTCCGGTGTCTGCTTTCTGCACATTGCTAGCCAGTTTTCCCAACGCCATTTAATAAACATGGAGTTCTTTCCCCATTTCTTGTTTTTATCGGGTTTGTCAAAGATCAGATGATGGTAGATGTGTGGTGTTGCTTCTGGGGCCTCTGTTCTGTTCCATTGGTCCATGTCTGTTTTGGTACCAGTACCATGCTGTTTTGATTACTGTAGCCTTGTAGTATAATTTGAAGTCCAGCAGTGTGATGCCTCCAGCTTTGTTCTTTTTACTTAGGACTGTCTTGGCTATGCAGGCTCTCTTGTGATTCCATATGAAGTTTAAAGTGTTTTTTTCTAGTTCTGTGAAGAAGGTCATTGGTAGCTTGATGGGGATAGCGCTGAATCTATAGATTACTTTGGGTAGTATGGCCATTTTCACAATATTAATTATTCCCAACCATGAGCATGGAATGTTTTTCCATCGTTTGTGTCCTCTGTTATTTCATTGAGCGGTGGTTTGTAGTTCTCCTTGAAGAGGTCCTTGACTTCCTTTGTTAGTTGTATTCCTAGGTATTTTATTCTCTTTGTAGCTATTGTGAATGGGAGTTTGCTCTTGATTTGGCTCTCTGTTTATTATTGATATATAGGAATGCTTGTGATTTTTGCAAATTGAATTTTGTATCCTGAGACTTTGCTGAAGTTGCTTATCAGTTTGAGAGGATTCTGGGCTTAGACAATGGGTTCTTCTAGATATACAATCATGTCATCTGCAAATAGGGACAGTTTGACTTCCTCCTTTCCTAATTGAATACTCTTTATTTCTTTTTCTTGCCTGATTGCTCTGGCTAGAACCTCCAGTACTGTATTGAATAGGAGTGGTGAGAGAGGGCATCCTTGTCTAGTGCCTGATTTCAAAGGGAATTCTTCCAGCTCTTGCCTGTTAAGTATGATATTGGCTATGGGTTTGTCATATATAGCTTTTATCATTTTATGATACACGGCATCGATACCTAGTTTATTGAGCATTTTTAGCATGAAGGGCTGTTGAATTTTGTTGAAGACCTTCTCTGCATCTGTTGAGATAATCGTGGTTTTTGTCTTTGGTTCCATTTATGTGATGGATTACGTTTATGGATTTGCATATGTTGAATCAGCCTTGCATCCCTGGGATGAAGCCTACTTGGTTGTGATGGATAAGCTTCTTGATGTGCTGTTGCAATCTGTTTGCCAGTATTTTATTGAAGATTTTTGCATCGATGTTCATCATGGATATTAGCCTGAAGTTTTCTTTTTTAGTTGAGTCTCTGCCTGGTTTTGGTATCAGGATGATGATGGTCTCATAAAATGAGTTAGGGAAGATTTCCTCCTTTTGCATTGTTTGATAGAAGTGGAACCAGCTCCTCTTTGTATGCCTGGTAGAATTCAGTATGCCTTATTTTTATAGACAGTACTTAAACCCCAAAATTCCTACACGATAGGGTTTAGCAGCCTCACTTCGATATGAATAAACTGCAAATATCTAAAAGTTCTAGGCTTGTAATTGATACAGCTGGGACTAGATCTCTGGCCTGGATTCATCTAGAGCCCACATTTTTCCACTCCTCTCAGCCTGAGCCAGACTTTGTGTCTTTTAATTCATTTTTCCTCCCACTGCCCAAACTGTTTATCAGAGCATTAAAAGGACACAGTACCCAAAGCACTTCTTTGGAATATATAACTAGAGCAATAATAATGCTGCATACATGACTAGTATAAATTAAGAAAAGAAAAGATAATATTCAGTGACAGTATGATCATCTACATATTCAACATCAAATAACCTGATAAGATCAGGAGCTCCACAAATCATCCTGCAATTCCCTTTTTCCATAGAAATTAAATATATTCAAAGCAAAGTACATAATACGTTAAATCTGGCTGTTGAAGCAAAAGAATAGATCAGTGTGTTGTTTTGACTGATAATTCACCACTTGTCCTGGCCTCCTGGCTTGTGGTACAGCTTCCCCGTCTCATACAAAACCTGGGACAGGGAGCCATTATCTGCAAGGTTTGCAGTAGGGAACCTGCTCAATAATTTGCAGTTGTGTGACATTTCCCAGCAGTCAAAGAGAAAGGAAGATGAGAACCCCCATCAATGAGGATTCTGGAGACCAATTCCTCAGAATATAGGGGTCACTGAGAGACCAGGCCCTGCCTACTCTCAGATCTAGAAGGCCCAAGCTATAGCTGTAAGGTAAAATTTCTCTATTTATGTAAGGCTCTCAGGTATATAAGAGTCCTGATCTAAGGGTGGTGTGTTCTGGTTAGTGGGAAGAGGATATCAGACTCTGAAAACTCTCAAGATGAGGACTCTGAATGAATCATGAGGAATGATCCACCCAGAACAATAGGGGTTCTTCAAACTATATCCTCCTTTCTGCCTTCAGTGGCCCTGGGCACAGATATCTGGTTGAGGTTCCCCCTCACTTTCTTTAGGTCTTCTGCTGATGCCTTAGAGAGATAAAGGCTTTGATCTCACAGCAGTAGCTCTGATTCTGTCCATGAAGGAGATCCTAACAAGCCTGGATTGTATTTAAGGTGGGAACACTGGGGTAGCCACAAAGTAGCACCCTGACTTTCCCCTCTCGTTTCTCAGGAAAGGGCAAGCTATGGCTTGAGGCTGACAGACTCAGATTAGTATTGGAGGGAGTTCCACATGCCCAAATCAATGTTAGAAACCTGAGTGAGAACTGAGGTAGCCACTGACTCCAAAACAGTGGAAAAGTATTCTGACCCTGCCATTAATCCTCAGGAGATCCTCAATCACTGTAGCAAGATGTAGCTGTTCCTAACTTTCATTTGGGACATTCCAGGAAGATATGGCCGTGGTCTAAGGAGTGTGGGCTTGTCAGTGGAGGGTCGAGTTTCAGGTTTGGTTAGTTAGGAGTCAAGGTAAAGACACTGACTGAGGACAAAGGAGACCACTCACCCGGAATAGAGGGAATGCACAGTGTCCTGTATCTGTTGTCAGCACTAGGAGGCCCAGGGAAGAGCTAACAGGGTGAAGAGCCCCTCATTTGCTCTGGCATTAGTCTCAGGGAAGTGAGAGCCTTAGTCTAATGGGAGCAACCCAGTGCAGCAGAGATTGTCTAATAGGAGTCACACTGCTGACCCTAAAGAGGGTTGATGGTACTCCTCCCAGAACAGGTGGAGCCACACAGAACCCTGCCATTGATGTCTCTCCCTGGCAAACCTGGGAATTCTGAGATGACAAGTCCCACTAATTTCATTTTAAGGCATCTCAGAGAGGTAAGGTTCCTGGACTAAGTGGTCAGCCTCAGGTTAGTACAGGGACAAATTCCAGGTCATGCAAACAGCCAAGCTGAGGACCATGAGGATTGAAGGAAGCACTCAAATCATAAAAGTATAGACAATGCAGAATCCCTCACATGATGTCAGCCCTGGGTGAACATAAAGGTTTTGTGCTCAGGTGAAGAAACTCTTACATTCTTCTTTGTAGTCTTAGGGAATTAAAGGCTGTAGATGAACAGAAAGGCCTCTACTTCTTGGGACTCTTCATTGTGAGGACCTTGAGCAAGGACTGCAGGGAGCAACCAACCTAGAAGAGAGAGGAACTCACATAGCCCTGTCCCTTTCAGCCCTGGAAATCTCCAGGCAGAAATAACTGGATATGTCAGCCACTTATTCCTAGCCCTGGAGGAATTGGGTCACTAGAGGGAGGAGTCAGAGGTCC